AAAAAAAAACAACAACAAACAGCACAACAGCAAGGGCAAAAAACACACAAATAAGGCAAAAGATTACGCTGCAACGACAAAAATATTACTTCAACACTGGCAATAAACAGAAATAAAACGCTAAGGTGGTAGGCTGAATTATTGGCGATCGATCAAACAGGACTTTGTTTTAATACATGATCTAAAAATGGCTGCCACACATCAAAGAAATTACTAAGTTTGTCTGCTAATGTGTACCTAATTCTCTCCATATGCAGTAGAGCAGTCAGTTCTGTCAGCCACATTTTGAATTGAGGTACAATATCAGACTTCCAGAGAGTCAAGATAATTTTCTTAGCAATTACCATTCCGAACAAAACTGTAGTTTGTGCAGCAGAGCTGAGGTGTAAAAGGGAAGAGGAAGATCCAAACAATGCAGTTATTGGGTCCAGCTCTAATGTGCAATTATAGATATCAGCAAAACATTTTAAAATGTCCAACCAATAGTTATGCAATTTGGGGCAAGTCCAAACTAAATGAGTGAGAGAGAGCCTTCTCCAAGTTTACAACGATCACATGTCGGACTAATAGGAGGAAAAATCCTGTGAAGTTTAGTTTTTGAATAATGAAGTCTGTGAAGCACTTTGAATTGAATTAACTAATGCCTTGCATTTATAGAGCAAGAATGGATCCTACACAGGCTCCTCTCCCACACCTCATCTCCAATTTGCAAACTAAGCTCCTCCTCCCATGCCATCTTCAAAAAGTCAGACTTAAAATTTAAATACTCTGAAAAAGCTTTCACAAAACCAGAAACCAACTTTTTAGAATCCGGGGAACTCAGAAGGAGTGTAAAAATTGACCCCTCTTCCGGAAGAGATGGAAAATTAAGGATACTCTGACGAACACAGTTTCTTATCTGTAAGTAATGAAAAAAATGTGACGCAGGGAGAGAGAACTTGTTCTGCAACTGAGTTAATGATGCAAACTGCCTGTCAATATATACATCTTTGAGAGTAACAATAGCTTTCTGTGTCCAGACCTCAAAAGAGGCATCTAAACATGAGGGTGGAAATATATACAATATATTGGAGTATGGGTCGAACTGTCTGGTAGAGCACAACCTTTTTTGATCTGACTAAAGATTTTAACGCAGTTTGAAACTATAAAATTATTGACCTTGGTTCACGGATTAGAGGACGAAAAAAGAAGAGCAGGGAGGAAACTATTCTCAACCCCACCACTCTCTATGACCACCCGGGGGGGTATCGGCAGACATGACCTTTTTGTACCCTTCCTGCCTAGCAAGAGTTCTAGCATTTGCAGCCCAATAATAAAACTGAAACAGTGGCAGACCAAATCCACCCTTAAGTTTAGACTTACATAGATAAACTTTTGATATCCTGTCAGTTTTAAAGCTCCAAACAAATGGTAATACTACTGAGTCGATCACTTTAAAAAATTGCTTATTCAAAAAAACAGGTAAGTTTAAAAATAAATATAGAAATTTAAGAAGGGAAACCATTTTGATTACATTAATGCGACCTACCATGG